TTCTTGGAAACCCCATACAGGATCTCTATGAGTCGGAACTGACTCGATGGCACTTAACAACAAACAACAACAAGGGTGGTTTGGAGTCCTGGTGTGGCTTTGGACTGCTAACTGAAGGTCAGCAGTTCAAATCCACCAATTGCTCCTTAGAAACCTTACGTTGTTGCTATAAAGTTGAGTTGCTTCTAACTCATAATGACCCTATATAGGGTTTTTGTGGAGTGGCTGGTGGATCTAAACCAGTGACTTTGCCGTTCAAACTGACCTTGTGGTTCAGTGTTCCATCCTACACCACCAGACCAGGACTCCAGAATCCCTATGCAGGGTCACTATAAGTCAGAAGTGACTCGATGGCACTTAGCAACAAGAAGCATGGCTAAGATGAAAACAAAGCAAGCAAGCAAACCAAAAACCCAGAAAATAACAAATATTGGTGATGATGTGGGGAAATTGGAACCCTTATCCACTGCTCATAGGAATGCAAAATGATACAGTCATTGAGGAAAACAGTGAGGCAGTTTCCTTAAAAACAAAACCAAACCACTAAAACCATATGACCCAGCAATTCCACTCCTAGGTATATACCTAATAGAATCGAAAGCAGAGACACAAAAAGAGATATGTACACCAATAGCCCAGAGGTGGAAAGAATCTAAATGTTTATCACCAGACGAATAAATGAACCAAATGTGGTATATACTTACAATGGAATACTACTCAGTCAGTATGAAAAATGAAGTTTTGATATATGCTACAGTATGCATTGAGCTTGAAGAGTGAAATAAGCCAATCATCAACAGACAAATACTGTATGACCTCATATATATAAAAAGAGTCCTGGTGTGGCGCTGTGGGTTAACGCACCAGACTGCAAAGCCATTTGAACTGCAAGGTCATTGGTTCAAGCTCACCAGCTGCTCCTCGGAAACCTATGGGTCAGAACTGACTCAATGGCACTTAACAACTACAACAACATATATATAAAAAGATAAGAAAAGGCAAATGTATTGAGACCAAAGTTTATTAATGGTTATCAGGGGTAGGAAGGAGGGGGATAATGGGCATTAACAGTGCTTCAATTAAGGGTAGGGTTGCATAGTTGATTGTTGGAATTGCTGTCGATACGTTGTACAGCTATGAAAAGTTGAATCGGCAGAAGTTGTGTGATAACTATATTTACAACAGTGACAAGAAACCAGACTAGCTGATGAGGCTGCTTCTATACAAGCAAACACCTCCTGGGATTTGGTTCCTTGGTTTGGAGGTTTAGGGTTATGGTTTCACAGGCACCCCAGTTAATTGGCCTACTGACATGTTTACTGCCTGTCTTATGTTCTAGTTCACTGTGTAGGGCCTGGGGTTTTAAAAACTTGCAAGTGGCATCTAAGACATGACAATTCTCTTGGCGTCACAGACGAAGGAGTCAGGAGGAGGAGGTGGATAGGAATGTGTAGCTAATTGCTTCCATGAACAGCTGCTTCCTTTGCCATGAGACCAGGAGAACTGGATAGTGCCTGGTTACCATGATGGAATATTTGATTAAAGATCCTATAGAAGAATCCCGATCAAAAGGGCCAAAATAATGAGTAGAATTTCAAGCTCTTATGGATTCTAGATGTCTGGAGCCATGGAGGGTAGACGAACCCTGAAACTATTATCTGGAGATAATCAAAACCTACCAATTGTTGAGCTTAACTAGCAAAAAAATGTCTGCCTTGAGCAATTTATTCTTTTAAGAACTATCTCTATGGGATGAAATCGACAGCAGCAATTCAAAAGATTAGATAGGAATATTAGGGGGTAGTGAGTGTATGTTAATGAGGGAGGGACAACTCAGAAAAGGAGAGTGAGAAAGATTGCACAACTCTAAGAATGTCATCAATGTCATTAAATTGTACACGTACAAACTGTTCAATTGGGATATGCTTTGCTGTGTAGAATCTCAACAGCAATAACAACATAAATAATACTTAGGAAGAAGAAGTGATCAGTGGAAAGAGAATTGGAGTTGCTGTCCTAGGAATGGATTATACGACCTGGACAATTTTATTTCTTTTATTTATTTATTTTTACTTCTTTGGGCCTTACTTATCTGATAGGCAGGTCAGATGGTATGATCTTTGGATCTTGTGGATAGGAATATTCTGTGGCTCTCTGTATACTTATTCATAGGCACCAATTCCACGTGGAGTCCGGGTGTGGCACTGTGGGTTAATGCGTCAGACTGCAAAGCCATTTGAACTACAAGGTTGGCAGTTCAAGCTCACCAACTGCTCCTCGGAAACCCTATACAGGGTCGCTATGGGTCGGAACCGACTCGACGGCACTCAACAACAACAATTCCGTGTGCCTGTCCTTGAGCCTCTTCTCCAGTTCAGGAGAAAGAACACTTAAATAGAAATCAGAAAATCCAGGTTCTAGACCCAGTTGTGTCTCTTTCTACCTGGTGTATCTAGAATCTCTTAACCTCTGATCCTCAGGTTTCTGTTTTGTAAAATGGGTTGATAATCACTTGACGGTCTAGTTCTCAGAGCTCATTTGGAGATAGTGTGTGTGTATGTTTTTGGTGAACTATGTAAATTGTAAGCTGATGATAATTTGTATGCCCTTTTGTGTGTGTGTGTGTTCTAGCTATCATAACTCTATCTCTTCACAGTAGCAAATAGAATGAGGTTTTCCAGATCTATAAATAAACTGTCCAGCATTGGTTAACCCTCCACCTGTTTAAGGTTTCTCTGTGTCAGTTTCTTACTTTGGGGATGGAAGCACAGATTGCTGCAAAGATTTTGGCTGGCAGAAGTGAAAGACTGCATACACTCATGCTGATATATGTACACCCCTCCAAAATGCTAGAAGGAATCGATGGTGCAGAATGATAAGTCTCATGAGGGAGTATGCCGACTGAAAGACTTCTGATTGCCTGTCAGAAGATGATTAGGCAACAATCATTACCATGCCAAGACCATCCCAGTCCCCATTGTTCCCCGACAGAAACAAGATCTAGATTACTCATTCCCTAAAGAGATGGTTGGTTTAGCATACCAGTGACACCGAGAACAGTGTTATGGAGGGGAGAATGGGAAAGGGGAAAAGGTGAGGTGCATTTTCAGGAGGAGGGCATAGAATAAACAGTCATGGAGAGAAGGGAAAAGGCTTTCATGAGGTGTGTTCCAGCAGCACAGGGCAATGGGACCAAATGGTCTTCAAGACTCTCCTTCTTCTACACATCTTATATATCCTAACAGACACTTCCTGTAGCAATTCTGAACCTTCTATAGAGTTGCTCTGAGCCACTGAGCTTATTGTGTTTATGTATTTTTACACTCCCCATTGTGTTTACATGAAAGCATGGGGAGCATGCCAAGCTTCTAAGAAGTCTCTGAAAGAAAGTCTGCGTGAGATTCTGGTCTTTCCAGATCTCAATGCCACTACTGTCCATTAATATTGATCAAGTAAGTGCTGTTGCTGTTCAGGAAGGTTCCTCGTTCATCACAATGCACTCTGGGTACATGGGTGCTTGAATGGAAGTAAACGCCTCATTGAACTCTGTGTTTCCAATCTCTCCTTCTCAGAAATACTTCCCAAGCACTTGCCTGTACCAGGATCTGAGGATTCCTGTCTTGTGAGCTTTCTACACAGGAGCAACTTCCCATGCTGTCTGAGCACTTTGGATTCAGTGGCAATGCTGTTGTACAACACACTAATTAGATCTTGCCCATTAGTCAGTTATGTTTGGTTCAAATCCCAGCAATTCCACTTAGCATCTATGTAAGCATGTGCAGGCTATTCAAGCTCTGTGTCTCAGTTCCTCATTTTTAAAAACATAGGTAGTAATAGTATCTATCACACAATTTTGTGAAAATTAAATGAACCAATACATAGAAAGCATGTAGAGCAGTGCCTGGTACGTGGTCGGGTTTTGATAAACATTAGCTATTGTTGTTATGACTTTCCAGGGGCCCACCATTCCCTTCCCTTCCTAGTCTGTATTCATCTCTCCTTGTAGTCCAGTGTGAGGTTGGAACCAGCAGCCTACAAGCCTCACTTCCATAGCTTTGCTTTACAAAATGTATTCCATAGCTCCTGCCGGCTCATTTCATGACTCCACATGTTACTTCAAGTTGTGTTTGCATGCTGTTCATCCCACCTGTTTCCTGGTGCTGGTGTCCCTTGTCCTGCCTCTGGTGTTCTCTTTGGCATTGGGCTGTCTTTGAGGAAATGGAGCAACTAGAACTTAGATAAGACCATGTCTTTCCCTTGTGGTCCTTTCAGAGAACATAATCATACATGCTATTAAATGATAGCTTCCCCTCATTTAATATAAATGCAGTACTCTTACATTTTTAAAAAGCTTACATTAAAAAACAAACAAACACACACACACACACACACACACCACAAAACCTTCTTTTACTCTCTTTAAACTTAAATCCCTTACTCTATGTCAGGATATATAATTTGATGAGCTCTGGGGTTTGGAGGGAAGATCTCAAAAATGAAAGGAGCCAGAGAATTCCTTCTGAGATTCAAGAGTGAAGAATTGCACCTGTCGTGCATGAAGAGACATTGGGTTTAGCAATTTACAAGGCTAAAGCAAATATGGAAATTTGCATAGCTTTGTAACAGGGGGTTATGAAATCTTACCAAGAAGCACCTGATAGCAATGTGGGGTCCTGCTTTCTCAAAGTCAGAAACACTCAAAGAGAGATCTTGTCTGATAAAATGATTACCACATGAGCCTATCTTGCTTGCACAGCAATTTTGAGAGCCCATCCTGGGAGTTAGGTGTGTAGTGTTTATCATATTGTTGAGGCTCGTAACAATCTTGTATGGCTGCAGGCAAACCAATCCCTTGAGAGGCACTGCATCTCTGCTGACTCCAGAGGACCAAGCCCAATTTTCTCTATGTATATAAGGGGACGTCTCTGTGCTTGGGGTAGAGGAGTGTTTAGCTCCTTCCTCTCTCTTTCTACTTTGTTTCTACTTTTCTCTCAGTCAACATGAGTCGACAGTTTAGTTCCAGGTCTGGGAACCGGTGTGGAGGAGGCTTCAGCTCCAGCTCAGCTGGAGTTGTCAGCTGCCAGCGCCGGACCACTAGCTCCATGAGCCGTAGTGGAGGAGGCGCTGGGAGTTTTTCAATCTGCGGTGGTGGAGGAGGTGCTGGTGGCTTTGGAAGCCGGAGTCTTATTAAACTTGGTGGCCGTAGAAGTATCTCCATGAGTGTGGCTAAAGGAGGTGGACGTGGTTGTGGTTATGGCTATGGTGGATTTGGTGGTGGTGGATTTGGTGGTGGTGGCTTTGGTGGTGGTAGCTTTGGAGGAGGTTATGGCAGTGGTGGAGGTTTTGGTGGAGGTGGCTTTGGAGGTGGTGGCTTTGGAGGTGGTGGCTTTGGAGGTGGTGGCTGTGGAGGTGGTGGCTTTGGAGGTGGTTTTGGGCCTGTCTGCCCCCCTGGTGGCATACAGGAAGTCACCATCAACCAAAGCCTTCTGCAACCCCTCAACGTAGAGATCGACCCTCAGATCCAAAAAGTCAAGTCTCAAGAAAGGGAGCAAATCAAGTCACTAAACAACCAATTTGCATCCTTTATTGACAAGGTGAGTTTACCTGGTCAGTACATTAGAAGAGCTGCTCCAAGTTCATCTGAAATTGATGTAGCCAAGAAATGTTTTCTGTGTTTGAATGATTATAAGAATGTTTTATTTTATGGGATGGTCTTTAGGAGATATGTTAACGGTATACCTGTGTATGCAGGATGCTAATGACTCAACTCGCTCTCTTGCAGAGTGAGTATGAGGTCCACCTCAACATGGGTCAGGTTGACATTTGCCTCTAAGTGTTCTCTTATTCAGTTCTTGAGGTGCATTGATACTTAATTGTGTTGAATGAAGATAATAGAAGTAGGGCTATTTGAATATTCTAGGGAACAAATGAGAACACTGAAAAGGTCTTTCTCTCCATAAAAAGGGAACGGAGTATGAACAGAGTGCATTATGATGTTGTAACAGAAAGTACACAGTAAATCAGTGCCAAATATCTTTTGTTGTCAGGAACTCCATCCTCTGGGAATGTTACATTGGCCCTGAGTCAGGGTGAAGATCATTTTCATGCTTAGATTTCCAAGCATCAGCTCTGGAACAACACACAAACATTCTTTATTTTCTACTGAATACTCAATAATGTCAACTCAAGGTTGTTGTTGCTGTTGTTAAGAGCTGTCGAGTCAGTTCTGACTCAGAGCAACCCTGTAATAGGGTTTCTGAGAAGCGACTGGTAGGTTTGAACTGTTGATCTTGTGATTATCAGTTCAGTGCTAATCTGGTAGCACCGCACCAGGATTTAAGGTTATTCACTATGACTTTTGAATACAACTATGGATTTTTCTAGCATACTTTTAAACTGTATGCTCAGGAAATGCAAACCAATTTTTATGGCAGTGTGCCTAAAAAACAAATTTGTAAGACAGATTTCTTAAATACCATGTGTCAATTTCAAACCATATATAAATTCATATGTGCTTTGCTATTTGGTATTGTGTAGCTGTACTCTTCCAAAGATTCAACTGAAACAAGACTGTAATTGCTGCTCTCAGGGAAATTACATCTCTGGATATAACAGAGAGTTGGATTTTGTTGTGAAGATGATGTTAGATTGATCATCTTCTTCCTAATTATTTGCTTGTCATGGTCAGGAAAACAGACACTGAAGTTCTCTTTTCCAAGTAAGTTTTGCACCCTGTTGTGTCTTTGGCATTCAGTGGTCATGGGACCCTACTGGATACCAGTAGCTAATGGGGTCTTGTGTTCTTAGGTGAGGTTCCTAGAGCAGCAGAACCAGGTACTGCAAACAAAATGGGAGCTGTTGCAGCAGGTAGATACTTCTACTAGAACCAGCAACTTAGAGCCCTTATTTGAACAATATATCAGCAACCTCAGAAAGTCTGTGGACCAACTGAAGAGTGATCAGTCTCGGATGGATTCTGAACTGAAGAACATGCAAGACCTAGTGGAGGATTACCGAAACAAGTAAGGAAATCTTGCTGAGCAACCCTTAACTCCTATTCTAAAAGATTTCTAGAAAGTGGCAAGCTAAGACTAGGGAGCAATGTGTATCAATATCTTTTTCTAAGTTACAAGGCAAATCAGGTTAGTATTTTTAGAAATCTTCATCTTCAGATGTTCTAGGTTAGTAACAGGAAAGCAATGACTAGGCAATGCTACTTTTAGCCTAGAATGCTGGACTTCAGAGTTTGCTTCTTCTGCATCTTCTAATCACGTCTACATTCCAACAGATATGAGGAGGAGATCAACAAGAGGACAAATGCAGAGAATGAATTTGTGACCATTAAGAAGGTGAGCAAATCTGTAAGATCAAGTTCACATCTGAAATGAAAAATAAAAGAGGATCTCCAACTATTATTACAAAAGCAGTCAACTATTATTACAAAAGCCCAATGAACATCTGAAATCGAGCCTCCCCATCTCCACCCCCCCCCCCATGTTACCATGGATCTGTATGTATGCAATCACTCTGCGTTTCCTGATTTCTCAGCACCTGAAATAGTGAGCAAGGGATATAATAATCCAAAAATTGTGATCTGATTGAAGTGAAAATGACTTGACCCCCAATTCCTTTTTGAAGAATGCTGTCCTAGCTGATGGTTTGCCCTTGGATGAATATGACTTCTGATGTTGTTTCTCTAGGATGTGGATGCTGCTTATATGACAAAGGTGGACCTTCAGACAAAAGTTAACACCTTGCAGCAGGAAATTGAGTTCTTTACAACACTCTACCAAGCAGTAAGTTGTTTAATTTTAACCGAGTTTACCCACATGGAGACACTTGAGTCTTACACTTACCTCTATTCAGGAAAATATAGGCGTACCTTCCATATTTTGATGGATTTTCCCTTTATTTAAGTTGTTTTTTGTTTTAACACTGTAAGAGTCACTCAACTGTTTTGTCTTTCAGGAGTTGTCTCAGATGCAGACTCACATCAGTGAAACCAATGTCATCCTCTCCATGGACAACAACCGCAGTCTAGACCTGGACAGCATCATTGCTGAGATCAAGACCCAGTATGAGGAGATTGCCAAAAAGAGCAAGGCTGAGGCTGAATGCTTGTATCAGACCAAGGTGAATGACCGAATGTCTAACTAGTTGCTCTGAAATGTCTTGATTTTCTAGCCTGTGTTATTTTTTATATGCCTGAGCCACAGTGTGTTCTGATCAATCTAATTGTTTTGATCTACCATCTTTAGTATGAAGAGCTGCAGATCACCGCTGGCAAACATGGGGACAGTGTGAAAAGTTCAAAGATGGAAATTTCTGAGCTGAATCGGATGATCCAGAGACTCAGAGCTGAAATTGATAATGTCAAGAAGCAGGTACTTGCTTCCTCCTTCTAGTGCTCAGTTGTATAGATGGGGAGGGGCGCCTTTGGAGAGTGCATTTCTAGTTCAGAATCTTGTAATCCATAAAAAGGCTGCATCATTGGTTCAGGTTTCTTTGGTATCTAGGCTGGCTTCCAGAATTTAGCCATCATGCTAATTCTCTTTAAGGAAACTGAGAAATGATCTACTAGAGAAATAGATGTGATGGTCAGTATGGCCTCATGAGTCAAAGTGAGACTCAAGAGGTGGTGAGTCAGAAGTAAGGTGTCAGGAGATTTGAGGTAAGGCATTTTGAAGAACATCAAGTCTGTAGTCGTTAGAGGGGCCTTGGTTCGGAGCCAAGAGATATTATTACACACTCTTAAAAGATTTTTAAAGGAAATTGACATGGTGATGTATTAGGTGTCTGATTCCAACACATGAGATGACTTCTGTTCCAGTGATTCCATTGGGATCAGTGTATTAGCCTGACTGGGATGGAAAGAGGGATCATTTTGGGATGAGAATGCAAAACAAAGCTAAGAAAGGATGTAATGTGCGGAGTTTCCTTTCTCAGGTGTCTCAGATGCAGCAGGCCATCAGCGATGCTGAACAGCGTGGTGAGAATGCCCTCAAAGATGCCCAGAGCAAGCTGGCAGAGCTGGAAGATGCCCTGCAGAAGGCCAAGGAGGACATGGCTCGCCTGCTGCGGGACTACCAGGATCTGATGAACACCAAGCTGGCCCTGGATATGGAGATTGCCACCTACAGAACTCTCCTGGAGGGAGAGGAGATCAGGTAAAACTGAAGCCTGTTCTGGATATGCAGAAAGAAATGTACATGGCTCAGGAGGACATTCCTGGTTTCAGGTCCCCAACTTTTTCTGAAGGCTGTAGCATCTCTATAAAGAATTTTGAGGTGGAGCTATTTATTATTCTTCCTGTGGTCTGGCTCAGATGTCACTTGAGCTTTTAGGTCCTTTTAGCAGTGGCCCTCATTAGTTACAAGATTCATATCTAATTTAGATGATGATTTGTCCTTGTCTGTACTCTTGCTAAGGAGCCCTGGTGATGCTGTAGGATAAGCACTGGACTGCTAATCACAAGGTCGGCGATTCAAACCCTTCAGCCGCTCTGTGAGAAAGATTAGGTTTTCTGCTCCTGCAAAGATTTACAGCCTCGGAAATCCTATATAGGGTAGCTGTGGGTTGGTGGGTTTTGGGTTTGGTACTCATGCTGAGAAAAATGACAGGTGCTTGCTTGCCAGAGGAGACTGGATTAGGTTTCATGTCAGGTAGAATGGAGTTGCCCCACATAGGGTTCAGCTAGGAGAGACTTCGAGAAGGCTGGAAGGCACAGGAAAAGGGTCTGTGTGGTGGGACAGTCATAAAAACTTTGCTTTTTTTTTTCCTATAGGATGTCTGGAGAGTGTGTCCCGAACGTGAGTGTGTGTAAGTACAAGTCACCTTCCCATGGGTTTGTGCAAGTTTGGCTGGGTTGGAAAAGGAGTTAGGACTGAAGGAAGATAACTGAATCTCCCCTTGCAGCTGTGAGCACCAGCCACACCAGCGTCAGCGGAGGTGGTAGCCGAGGAGGCGGTGGTAGCTACGGCTCTGGAGGTGGCAGTTATGGATCCGGAGGAGGTGGCGGTGGCGGCGGCGGTGGAAGCTACGGCTCTGGAGGTAGCAGTGGAGGCCACCGAGGAGGCTCTGGAGGAGGAGGCGGCGGCGGCAGCTCTGGTGGCCGAGGCTCTGCTGGTGGGAGCTCTGGAGGTAGTTATGGTTCCTCAGGAGGCCGAGGATCCAGTTCTGGGGGAGTCAAGACCTCTGGTGGCAGCTCCAGTGTGAAGTTTGTCTCCACCTCTTATTCCCGAGGGCCCAGATAAAGAGGTGCTCTCTACCCTGCTAGCTCGCTTCCTCCATCATTGCCAATCATGCTTGGCAAGACCTAGATCAATTGCCCCAACTTTCTTGGAGAAACGAGCTATGGTTATACTTGGCTCATCCTATTTCCCAGCTGTTTCTTTTTTTCTCTGCTTCCCAGACCAATGGCAATGTCAGTTCCTTGGCTTTGGCGGAGTCTTGTACTTTGCCTGAGATACAGTCCAGCAATGACCACTGTACACATTACATTTCGAAGCACCTCCTTAAACCAGCCAGAGGAGGGCCAATTGGACTTATGGCTTCTTTGCCACACATACACACACAAACAGAGGAAAGTTCCTTTGTGTCTTCCATCTTATGACAACCTCTGTTCTGCTTTGGTTTTGTACATAAGGTATAACCCAGTTGTTTGTCTTGTGGAGTGGTTTGAAACTCCCCATTTTCTTGTGTTGCTGCAATAAACTGCATTTGAAATTCTCTGAGTCTCAGTCTTTTTGTTCATGACACTGTCTACCATGAAGGGGTTCTTTGTGGAAGTGAAAGAAGGCACTAGGGCTATATGACATATGAAGAGTTGAGACACATGGACATATGAAGAGTTGAGACACATGCCTTTCTTGAAAAGGGCAATGAACAAGCAGGTTGGGAAGGAGGGGCTTAGCATTGAGAAGATGGGAATGTATTACATGGAAAAGTAATTGCATATGTGGAAAAGCTAATGACCAGAGGGGCTGTGAGCAATGTAGGGTCAGAAGTAATTGCAGTCAGAATAAAGACTTTGGCTGGGGAAGTCTGAGAACTGAGAATGGTAATGAGGAATTGGATAGGTCATTCCTACTGTCTTTCAGGACACCACCCAAAGCTTTGCTCAATCTAAAAGTTCCCTGTTGACAAATCATCTCTACTTGTGGACTAGCATGACAGGATAGTGTGGTGGTCACAAGCATGGCAGCTGAGCTCAGAATGCTTAGATTTGAGTCTGACCATCACCATTTACTAGTTCTGTGATAATGTACAAGTTATGAACCTTTCTGTACCTCAGTTTTATTATCTTTAAAGTGGAGGTAATAATGCCTCTTTCATGGGAATTGTCTTGAGTGTGTGGAAGGAAAGGGACATGGTAGAGAGGAAGCACTTGACTCACTTTGGAAGCTAGGTCAGGTTTGTATAACAAGCTGATAAATGAACACAGATTGACACATAGTATTCACTCAGTTAGTGCCAATTTTAATAATAATAGTAATGATGATGATGATGATGATGATATAGCTATTGTAAAATTGCTTGTTAGTCTCTGAACAGCTCAGCAGATGCTTTTAGGAAAAGTGAACATCAACTTCCCAGAGGTTCTATGACTCCAGAAAGTCAGCTTCTTTGAGGATTAATTTTCTTGGTTTCCAATGATAAAAAGTCTTCTGGGCTCCATCATCAACCGGGGCTGAGGGGAAAAAAAGAGCGTGCACATCAGTGAGAGCATCATACAAACACAATCTGGGAAAGCTTTAACCTCTCCAATCATCCCTTCACAAGAACAGTTGCCCACCTTGGACTGAAGTGAGAGTTTGGGAGGCATTATAGTTAGAAAAGAGAAAGGAAGGCATTTTGCTTCAGAGAACCTGGGTTTAAGTCACTCTGATGTCTAAAGGATAGGCAAAGGAAAATAACCATAGTTTACTGAATGTGTGGTGGACATTCAGTAAACTATTGTTATTTTGGACACATTTGGACAAGTCTTTACCATCTCGAGCCTCAGTTGACTTTTAGGTGAAATGAGGATAAGTCTATTTACTTCTATAAATCAAGAGAGTAAAACTATAATGTGAAAATGCTTTCTGACCTGTGAATATGTTACACAAGAATTCTTAAATTAAAAGGGAATGATAAAGGAGTGGAAGGAGGCAGTTTCTTGCTCAGAACCTGAAAGGAGGGCAGTACCATGATGTGTCACTATAGTCCAGTGACAGCTTTGTAGGGGCATAACATTGATTTTCTTAATAAACAGAAAGTTGCATCTGCTTACATCATGAAGACTGATTCATGTGAACCAAATGCACAAGAGATGGGTGTGTAAACAAGAATGTTCAGGTATTAGCTTATGGGGGAACCTACAATTTTCAGGGACTGAAACACTAGAGCTTCTCTATCCTGTTAACATGATGATACCTGAGAATGCAAATTGGTCAAAAATGATGGCTTGTACTTGTGTCATTTGAACAATGGGAGTTCTAATTGGTGGGTGGCCTTGATGGTTTATTTTCCTCTGGTAGTGTAATGGTTACAAGTCGGGCTGCTAACCTCAAGGTCAGCAGTTCAAAACTGTCAGCCGTTCTGTGGGAGAAAGATGAGGTTTCTGCTCCCGTAAAGATTTACAGCCTTGGAAACTCTATACAAGGTCACTATGAGTCAGAACTGACTCCACGGCACACCACCACCACCACCACCATCACCACCACCACCATAAGAGAGTGGGATTCAGAGGCCACTAGATACAGCACCTGTCTCCTGGGACACTACTGATTGAACAGTGTGGTGGACTCTTGAAGCTGCTTACCATTTTTCAAGTACTTTCTTAGGTTACAAGTTTCTTTTGTCACATTTCAGTATTAGAGGCCTTCCTGCTCATCTTGTTTGGACTTCAGTTTTTATGAAACAGCACCTACTACATACTACAGTGAAACTTATCAAGGTTTATATGGTCACAAGGTGTCAATAAAACCCTTGTTTAAGTCATTATAAAATGAAGAGCTGACTTGAGTACCCAATGCATTAAACATATAGTAAAGGACAAGTCCAGATTCCTTTCTGTTCAGAAAATATTTGTTGTACACCTACTATGTGTTAGCTATTTGGGCCTACCCTTGCGGATACTAAGATGAGTGAGACAGGGTTCTTGCCTTCAAAGAGCTTAGAGATTTGGGTGGTGGAGCATACATAAACATGGTACCTATCCTTTTGTTGTTGTTGTTTTTGTGAAGACAACCTAAAGAGACTAAGACAAGTATATGAATGAGAGAACATCTCTGCAGTCATTCACTGATTGCAGAGACATGTTTAAACTTGCTTTATCCATTCATGTATGAATTGGAATCCAAGGAGCAAGATTTTTAGACTTACCCTCATATGTGTATATGTTTCACTTTTTAAGTCTCAGGCAGATAATATAATGAAGCAGTCAGATGTTTGCACCTATAGGTAGAATCACAATGTGTACAAACAATTGCAGATGAGGATTGATACAGATGTGTTGTGTTGGCAAAATAAATATTATAAGTAGCTAAATCATTAATGGCATGATATTCTAAAAATGTGAACTTATGTGTATTTTGTGATGAAAACAAAGCAATCTTGCTTTGAGTTACACAGTAGTGGAATTCTGCAACAACTCAGTTTACTGTAAAACTGCAAAAACTCCCTGCATCTGCATGTGATATTTATGAAATTTGGTTCTGAGTTCAACAATTATAAATGGTAGGGCATTAACAAGTTTTACAGGTAATCTGCCACTACTCATCTGTTGGTTGTACTGAGGTGGTTTGTATGGTGTTGTGCTGTTGGAAGCTAAAACAACAGGAAGAAATGATGAAGTACAAGATCTGCACAGAACGTGTCAAGCGGCAGCTAAGTCAAGTATTATAATGAAATGTGCAAAGATTTGGAGCTAGAAAACCAAAAGAGAAGAACATGTTCAGTGTTTCTCAAGCTGAAAGAACTAAAGAAAAAATTCAAGCATTGAGTTGCTATATTGATGGATTCTATGGACAAAATGTTGAACGATGGTAAAAACATCAAAGGAAAACTAAGGAATACACAGAATCATTGTATCAAAAAGAACTGGTCCATGATCAATCATTTCAATAAGTATTGAACAATATCATTAATATCACATGCAAGTAAAATTTTGCTAAAGATAATTCAAAAGTGATTGCAGTAGTACATCAATAGGGAGCTGCCAGAAATTCAAGCTAGATTCAGAAAAGCATGTGGACATAGAGTTATTAAGAAAGATATTAATTTGAGCTTTTTTGACTGTGCAAAGACATTCAACTGTGCAGATCCTAAGAAACAATGGACAGCATGGTGAAGAATGGGTACTTCAGAACACTTAATTGTGCTCATGAGGAACATGTACATAAACCAAGAGGCAACTGCTAGAACAGAACAAGAGGATACTGAATGGTTTTAAATCAGGAAAGGTGTGCATCAAGATTGTTTTCTTTCACCACATTTATTTAATCTGCATGTGAGCAAATAACTCGAAAAGCTGACTTGTATGAAGAAGAACCTGGTATCAGACTTGAAGGAAGACTCATTAACAACCTGTGATATGATATGCAGATGACACAACCTTGTTTGCTTGATGTAAAGAGGATTTAAAATATTTACTGATGAAGATCACAGATTAAAGCCTTCCCTATGGATTGCACCTCAATGTAAAAAAAATCAAAAAACCCCAAGAAATCCACACAACTGGACCAGTACATAATATCATGTTAAATGGAGAAAAAATTGAAGTTGTCAATGACTTCATTTTGCTTGGATCCACAATTTGCACTCATGGAAATAGCAGTCAAGAAATCAAAAGATGTATTGCATTAGGCAAGTCTTCTGCAAAGGACCTTTTTTAAGTGCTTAAGAGCAAAGAAGTCAGTTTGAGAATTGAGGTGTGCCTCACGGAAGCCATGGTATTTTCAATAGTCTCATATGCATGTGAAAGTTGGGCAATGAATAAGGGAGACCATAGAAGAATCACTGCATTTGAATTATGGTGCTGGAGAATAATATTGAAAGTATCAGCACCTACCATAAGGCCAAACAAATCTGTCTTGGAAGAAGTACAGCCAGAATGCTCTTTAGAAGTGAGGATGGCAACACTTTGTCTCTTCTTTTTTGGACATGTCAGGAGAGACTGGTCCCTGGAGAAGGACATCATGCATGAAAGTTAAGGTATTGTGTCAACTTGCCTGGGCCAAGATTCTAAGTAGTTTAGTAGTTGAGATTTTGT